TTTGTAGAAGGAAAAAAAAGAAGGAGCAAAAAAAAAAAAAAAACATTCCTAAAGAATAAAGTCAGTCGTCTAGACAGTCAGCCCTCCCTGGTCTCTGCACTGCAAGTTTTGGATGTCTCCCTGACTCAACACACCTGACTAAGACATATGTTAATTTAATGACATGCCCAGGGAACTACTAAGCCACTTGAATCAGTTTGGTAAAAGCAGGGACACGCCTAAAACACGTGAGTCCTAGAGGATCGAGGTTGGACACTGCTGAATAAAGGAGTTCAAGTTGTGATCTCAAATTTGACAAATCTTATAATCTGATTGCAGTTGCAGGATTTTCCCAACCCTGATTTCAGCATCCAATATGGCTGCATTGCTGACATTGATTGACACAAGGAAACAAGTATGTTTTCTACTTCTGTTTGTATCTTATTGAGTCTAAATAACTTCCTCCAATTTTAAAGTTAATTTTCCAAAGAAATACATTGATGTTATTAGTTTGTATTGCTAATTGTCAGCACATCACTAAGCTCAACAGTTAGCTGATCCCCCGCGGGCCGCTAATGTAGCTAATGTAGCTACTGTAGCTAATGTAGCTAATGTAGCTACTGTAGCTAATGTAGCTTTTGTCGTCAATTCCACCTGGTTATAGCCTCCTGACAACCAAGAAAAAAAAATATTGTCCAATCACCATTTTTTTTAAATCCCACATTCTTTGTAAGGTAATAAAAGGTTTTATGCACTTACTTTGTCTCTTCCCATAAAATGTGTTATTACTGATAAATGCCATTTTTATGAATTAGAAAAAGGTACGTACAAAAGTCCCACCCCTTCATATGTGGTATCATTGAAAAGCCCTAAATGTCCTCTCCAGATACCAAAAGGAATTAATTCAGTAGAATGCAGGGGGTGGGAGATATTCAAGTTTAGAAATGTCCTCTACAGAGGACAAAAAAGAACTACTGGTAGTCAGGAGGTTAAAACTTGGACCTAGAAAATGACTACATTTGATTTTGTCTGAGTTTTAACTTAAAAAGTAAATTGAACTCAAGAACATTAGCCAGCAACTCTTGTTCCTGTTACATTTGAATACTAACAGTTATTATTTTTATGTTACCTTGAAAAGGATTAATACCACAATTGGCATTCAAAGCATCCTCTCATGTGAAAAAAAAATTATTAATAATGTCATTCTTTATTTTATTTTATTTTTTTTTTCAGGAGTCTTGCCTTGGCATTTCATACATTTTATGCCATATTTGGAAGCTGGTTGCCTCTGTCATTACTTTAAAGTATACATACTTCAGGAATGTTGTCACTTTTTACTCACAGGAATCTACTTCATAATGTCATGATTACTGATGGTGAGTGAACACGGTTGTGAAATAAACAAAAACCATGAAATGATTTTATTTGAGCCAATGTCCAGCAGCAGATTGAATGTAACATCTTAACAATGTTTTGTTGTTGGGATGAATGTCAACCGAGGTTGTAACCTCCTTTTGGCCATGAAGAATACTTCTATATATTTGAACTGTGTGATTAATTTATAACACCCAAACTTCAGGTGCAGTTGAGGTGTTAGAACTGTCCTAGAGTGCTAGAGTTGTGCATTGAACCTATAAGTCATTTAAGCTGGAAGAAACAATTAAGATTAATTAAACAAAAGAGGAAAACATGCTGAACGTTCTGGACTTTGTGTACTGCAGCCATCTGACTCAAGCTGTCTGTTACAACATAATAATTAAGTACATCTGGGATGACATCTGAAGTTGTGAAACAGTAACCATGCAGCAGATTATGTCACAGTGATGTGTTTTAAGAAGACGTTCAAACATGCAGACCTCAGTCTCACAGCCGAGCCTCAGCCTGAGCAGTGAAGCCCGAGTGGAAGGGGTGAGAGGGGAAGTGGGGCTGGTTGTGGAGGGCACGATGTCATCACAGGCAGTTCAGGAGCTTAACGTCACACTGAAAATATGTGCTTCTGTCTACAAGGGTGCAAAAAGGTGCAGAAGAGGAGTGCTGCACGGCCGACATGAGTCATGCTTTATGTTTCCACCCCAAAGGCCCACGAGTTCACTGATGAACCCTTAGTAAGAGGATTTGCTGTTCTGGTTCTAGGAAGGCTGAAAAGTTTGTTCAGCTTGGCAGATGTTTTCCTCTGTGGTTGCATTTTCTTCCCCAACGTGATCTGTTATTCATACATAATAAATAATAACAAAAGAGAACAATTTCCCTTTGATCGGATGCTGTTCTTCTTCAGTCCATCCGCTGCATTCCTGTGGCTGGAAAGGAGCTGAAGGAAGCACGGTTGCAACAATAAGGCAAACATACTCAAGAAATCACTCATGTGCACTGAGTCAAACTCTGTGACATTCATGCAGCAGACACAGGAGACAAGCAACACCTGCTTAAAGAAGCAGAGCAAAGTAACGATGAGGCAGGTCTTCACATTTAGGACAAACTTTCTTCCTTCAATGAATCTCTTAAGGAAAAAAACGACACAGTGTCATGTTTTCTGCAAGATAAACATAAAATTTTGTTCACAATTTTAAGTGTATTTTTTAATTCACAAATAAAACTAGTATGGTCACTGAAAATGTGTGGTTTTGGCATGCAGACATAATCTAAATTATAAGATAAAAATTATTCTGACTTTAAATTTGTTCTTCGGCTTCTAAGCTGCAACTTCAGATGTACAGATGAAACCAGATGTTTACGCTGTATAAACAGACAATATCTTTTTTTATGGCACCAAATCAGAGTAAGCCTATCCCTGTTTTAAGTCACATAGGATTACCAACATGTTTTTACCTTCTCATATTCAGAACTTCACATATTTCTTTAATATTTGGTAGAAATTAATTTGACTTGGGTCAAATATCTTGGGTTTTCTTCCACAAGATTTTCTCTATAGTTTCCTGGTATTTTGGTTCATTCCTCTAGACAGAGTGTCAGAGGACAATAATGGCCGCTGTAGTTAACAAAGGCATCACAATGCTTCACTGTAGTCAGCTCTTTTCAGCTTCATCCTTCCTCTACAAACATACCTCTGAACCATAAGCCCATAAATTTACACTATCGATTCTTCACTCCGCAGAACATATTCTCTAAACCTCGTTGACTTATTTATGATGTAGATTTGAGAAAACTTGAGCTGGTTTTCCTTGTCCTTTAGACCAGTAGTGGTGTTCACTTTGTAGTTCAGGTATGGCGCCATTTAGAGAGAAAACGGGAACCTCATTGGCTGCAGAGTGTTTCTTTTCTACATTTTATGAGAGTCAGCACTGTTGTATAAACATTGATAAAATATATCCCAGGAAAACATTATTTGAAGTTTTTAATAAATTAGGTTTTTATGAAATGGTTTAAGTCCATTATCAAGTCTGTACAGATGCAGATAACAAGTTGGTTAAAATAAATCAACAGAGTTTTGTATCATTTTTGACAACATGGCTGTCCAGTCCCACAGTACACATCCATGCTGATGTATTTTTGCCTAGTGACGTGTTCTTTTGGTTTGTCTGGATATTTTCTCACTCTTTACAGGCTGACTGTGTAAATTGTTCTGCAATGTTCCCGTATTTCCTCTCTGGTTTTATCGCTCACTCATCAAAATCTAATACAGGACCAGAAACCTCTTCTTCCACACTCTATCTATAAATTTGATCACATTTCTTTTCTTTCACTTTTTTAGTTGCACTTGCAACAGCCACAGCAGTGTAACACAGCTGTATTACATTCTGCAGTTATGAAACCAAAACAGTTTTAAGTATTGATAAAACAGGGACACATTTGCAGAATGTAATGGCTGCCATTCAGCATCTCTCTGAATGTTTGACCTCCTCTGCTAAAACCTGTGATGTGGTTTTCTTCCATCTTTCCTTACTTCCATCCATTTTCCCATCATCTCGGACTACGCTAAAGGGGCAGCATTAGGTAAAATCAACGTCCACACAGCTCCTCCTCTGCCAGACTATCAGCTGAATCAGCAGCAATTAGCAAATACCTGGAGGAGCTGCACATCTGCTGAGCTCACCATGCAAACTGCTTTTCAGTGCAACACTCCTAAGAACAATTTTAAAGCCTTAAAAGAGGAATGTTGTTGTGATGACATGCTGAAGGCGGAGTCTCAGAAAGTCTCTTAAAAAACTCTTGAAGAAAGAGTTTCTTAAAGAGACAGAGACCTGATATCAATGTGTTAAATTACAAAGTTTAATTTATTTTGAGTTAAGTTTGATGCATTCAACACTTTTATAACAACTGATTGTAAAAAAACCTAATTGATTGTGCCATAAAATGTCACTGTGTGTCTGGAAAATACATAATACTGCCCCTTTAAGGAAAGCATGATGGTGCCACCACCATGTTTTATTGTAAGGATGACATTTTCTTGGGTGATGTTCAGAGTTAGTTTTGCACCAGTCTGAATGTCCTTTCAAATGCTCTCCACACCAGACAGTTTCGTGTACTTGATGCAGCTTCAAGGCCACACACACACACAGTGACATCCAAAGTTAAGAATACGATCGCAACTCATCTTTCACTTTATGTTTACATGTTATTTGATCAAGCACATGCTTGTCACGTAAGTGTCAGATATGTTGTCCTGGTGGAAAACTTGCAGGAGGTTATATGTGGAAGCCAGACCTGTTGGTGTGTGAAAACCCAGCAGTCCAAATAAGGAGATCAGGCAGGGTAAAGGGTAAGTGGAGTGAAGTGGAGTGGAGCAGCCTGGCTGTTCCTCACAGAGAGCGTTCAGCTTGATAGGAGGGAGAGAGTTGCTGAGAGGCTGATAGTCAGGGAGTGAGGATGGAGTGAAAGCAGAGTGGTGATTGGAGGGATGAGGAGAGGAATGAAAAGAGGGGAGAAAGGATGGAGAGGAAGGTTGGATAGAGGGAGGGAGTACTGAACCATGGGAGGAGATGAAGGAGGAGGAGGAGGAGAGGGTGATTGGAGACAGGAGGCAGGTTCTGCTGCAGCCCAAATAACTACCCATATAGGGCTGGGCTCTCCATCTCTTTCCACATCTCTCTCTGTCTCCTTCCTTCTGTCCTCTCCCTTTCTGTCTCTTTCCTTTTTATTGTTCCTCAGCAGCGCTCCGCTGGAAGACTAACATATTCCCCTCATCAAAAAGGCAACAGGAGGCATTAAAAACATTTTTTAAAGGTGCTTTCCCCCACATCTCAGAAAAAAGGAACTCAGTCGACACCATGGAGGCCATCAAGAAGAAGATGCAGATGCTGAAACTGGACAAGGAGAACGCCATCGACCGGGCAGAGCAGGCGGAAACGGATAAGAAGGCAGCCGAGGACAAATGCAAACAGGTGGGGAAAATGCAGCATTGGGAGTAGGCTAATAACAGTATGTGGCCTAGTCTTTTGATTTTTTTAATTAATGAGAAATTTTGTTTCAAAAGTAAAGTATCTGCAGTTTTAGAGCTGCAGTCTGAAATAATATTTTTTATTGAAATCCTGAGCTCAGATTAGCTTCAATACCAATCATTCCCCCACTGAATCAGTCTAAAAACTTTTATAGACTGTGAAGTATTTCCTTATCGCTCTTATCTTGATGCCATTAGATATATTTATAGCCATCATTACTATTTTTTTTTTTTACAAAGTGATTTCCTTCTGTTCTTCCGAGGCAATGCTTTTGAATAGTTCAGGTCATTTTCTTCATTGAACAACCTCATGATTAAATGTGAATAAATAAATGAATAGAGAAGGGAGAGATTACCAAAATCAAAAACTGAACTTTGCATCAACAAATCTTGCACATAAACACTGAATGGTGTGTCTTTGTATGATCACAAATCACTTTCTAGGTCAGCAACAAGAAACAAACAATCATTTCCAGCTACATTTTGAAAAATGTTTGTCTTATACCTCTGATTCGAGCCGCTGAGAGAAGAAGTGTTATCAGTAGAGATCACCCAGGAGCCGAGTCAAACATCCCACCTCTCCCAGCTCCAGTGTGTGTTTTTAATTGAATAGATATCACAAAGTGTTTGCAAAGGTACACACATTCTCAGAAAGACACAGTAGCTCCAGATGTCTGCTCTCGCCGATAAAGGCTGTATTTTTGGCATCAGGAGAGAACGTCCGAGTGGAATACAGCTGGATTATCAGACGTACTTCACAGGCTGTCAGGGTGACACCGATTAGGATGAACACCTGACTCTCTGTCTCTATGCCAACAGAGAAACGGAGGTATCAGCTGCACACTGATGCTCTTGTCACGAGAGACTGATAGCTACCGCGGCCATTTAAATGTTGCTTTACATCATAAACACAATTAGACTCTCAAATCAGCCACCGCTTTGCTATCAGTAATGTTCAAAACTTTGGCTTCACCGACGTCCCGGACGACTTAACTCGGTTACAATCGGCGATGAGATGTGAGACATTTCGCTTAAACTTATGAGGTATAATTTTATTCTATTTTAAAGCTAAGTTGGGAGAGGTGTTTGATGCATTAACACGACAGGTAAAACATTTTAGGAAGTGATAAATAAATGTATCTTTTACTGCAGCAACATGAAGTAACACTCAATCAAACATATGAAAATAAAAATAGAAAAATTCAGTCATCACTTTAAGTATATTTATGCGGTGGACAAAAAAAGAAGGTGAAAATAAATAATTAGAGCTGCACTTTATCTTGAAAGATTAACAGTGGCTGCAACACTAAACCTAAGACAGAATGGTGGGACTTTTGAAATTATAAAGAAAGGAAAAAGTCAGAAAAAGTAGATTAATCTTAACTGATGTCATTATATTTTCTGATGTGTTGTGGCCCTAAAAGTTTTTTTTTTTTTTTTTTTGTCAAAATAAATGCTTGGGGAGCCATTTCTATGTTAATATGGCTACATGTTTTAGATCATCACCTTGTTGAAAGACCCAATCCTGACCTATTCCAGGTTTTCTAATAGACATTTGTTTAAAAACTCCTGGTAGTTAAACAGTTTATGATGCATTGCACTCTAACGAGATTTACATGGACTCTGGAAAAGAAATAGGCCCGCAGAATCACAGATCCCCTACCATACTTAACACTAGGCATCAGTTGTTTTTCTACATATTAATACATTGCTTCACACTAACACAGACTTTATATGTTTGTGATGGTAGGAGGTTGGCAAGTAAGGCTTTCTTGCTGACTGCGTGGTGGCAAGACAAATATAGATCTTCATTCAGCTTAATGGCTAAAAAGTGTTATAAAAATATGTAATATTTAAAGGAAGCAGGAAGTCCTTTATTACTAGTTGGAAACTCCTATATAGTAAGAGCAACTTAAAAAATATGCTGAATTAAAAAATATATATTTATGATGTTAATATTTAACAGAGTCTTGGGGAGGCAAACAAACATGCAGCTTATTATTATTATTATTATTATTATTATTATTATTATTATTATTATTATTATTATTATTATTATTAATTCCCCTGTGAATAAATGTGCTTAAGTACAAGGTCGTACTTATCTATACTATTCAGTGTAAGGTCATGCTGCTGCAAGACTTGTTTATCTTCAGGTGTTTTAAAAATGTTCACCAGGAGCTCCAGTAAGCATATACAACTATTTCAAGGTAGCATGGAAACTGAAGATGGAAACAGGTGAGACTGCTGGATAACACTTTATTTGACTGGGTGTGCGTAAGACTGACATGACATCTGTCATGAACACAAAGGCATCTTTATGAATGTCTATGTCAGGAAAGGACATTCGGAAAATAATGACACTTTTAATGCAAAGTTGCATTGAAAGTCCATTAGAAGTGCCAACTTTACATAATTTTATAGATAATGACGCTTTATTGCAAAGTTAGCACTTTTAATGGACTTTCAATGCTACTTTTAGAGAAACTTTGCATTAAAAGTGTCATTATTTTCCAATTGACACTTCATAACTGTCATGTGTTGAGGTGGAGGTGGTGAGAGTGAACGCAGGCAGGACCCCAGATTGAGAGGTGATGATGATGATTGGTTTAATTGACAGTAGCACAAACAGTCCAGTTCAGGCGGCACGGCAGAGAACTAAGCAACAGCTTGATACCGGTAGCAACTGAAACTAATAAGACTGACATACAAGAGCTAACGCCGTCACAGGACTATACAGTTCAACTGTGACGACTAAGACAATTACTGACAACGACAAGACTGACTGTAGACGAGGACCAGACAAGAGACAAAGGCAACAGGTGGACTTAAATACATAGGGAGGGTAATCAGAGAATGAGACACACCTGGGAAGCAATCAACAGGACAGGGAAGACAGGACAGGGACAGGGCTAAACACAGAAAACCTCAAAAATAACTACACAGAAAATACAGAACACAATAACAACAGTCAGAGACATTCATAAAGACTTCTTTATGTTCATGACAGATGTTATGTCATGTATATGACAGTGTCATGTCAGTCTTACGCACACCCAGTCAAATAAAGTGTCACTGAAGAGGGTAACAGAAGTAACCTCTGGTCCTGTTGCAGCTGGAGGATGAGCTGCTGGACCTCCAGAAGAAGCTGAAGCAGACGGAGGATGAATTGGACAAATTCTCTGAGGGCCTCAAAGATGCTCAGGAAAAACTGGAACTGTCTGAGAAGAAAGCTGCAGATGTGAGTAAAACAGCCAAACACTCTTACCCCCCCGCCACCCCTCTCACACACATACTCACACACTCACACACACACCTGGCATCACAAGCTAAACCAAGTCTCCAGCCAAAGTTTGAAAACAGACATGAGGCTTTTGCCTCCTATCATCAACCACTTGTTCTGTTAACAAACAGACCACACACTTACACACGTATTACCATGGCGACAGTTGAAACTAGAGGCCCATTACTCCACAGCTGGTCCGTCATCAGCTGTAGGTTTACTTTGATCCATGGCTTGGCACTCTCTGGAAACTGTAACATTCCCGTGCAGCACTCTGAAAACATAAACGAGTGGCTAACCTGCAATCCGTTTAGTCAAGCACACACAGGCACTCAAATCTTTCAAAAAAAAAAAGCTAAATATAACACAAATCGTCATTATTATCCAGTAAATATATATATATATTTTACTTTTGGCATTCAATGAGACACTCATAAGGTGTTTTTTTTATTTTTATTTCCAGAATATTGAGACTTCTTTCATGTATCCAATGCTTTCCTTCATAGACGAAACAGAGAATATGATGCTACAGAAAACATTTAGATGGGAAATTTCAAAAATAATACCTGAAAAAACTTTAAGCAGAGCAACTGTACATCAGTTTGTACATCACATTTAAGCTATAAAACTGCACACATAATATATTGGGATCAAATTTAACTCCACCAAACAACCAGCAAAAAAAAATGCTCCATTCAGAAATAAAATTAGTTATTTTTAAAATGACAGAATATATATTGAAATTAAGAGATGTTGTGCTCCCAAGGGCTTGATTATTTTACTCACTGATTGGTGTAGAAGTCTCTGACTAAACTCAACTCCTGATTCCTGTTGTTGGTGTTACGTCTGTGACTCTACACTGTGCTTGTAGATGAGCTGTTGTCTGAACAATACAGTTGTTTTCTTTAGCTATGTCTTCGAACCTCATGTTGCAATTTCTTTCCTTCAATTTTTTAAAATTAATTTGTATTTGCAGTTCTCAGAGTAAAACATTACTGACCTAAACAGACTGGGTATGTCCAAAAACTTTTAGCATTTTAAAAAAATCCTTTTTTATAAGACATAACTTGGTGTAGAAGGAAAAGCCTTAAGCTATGCAGCTCTGTACTTAATCAGTACAATCTGGGTGGAAAGGCCATATTTTAGATTGTTAGCATCACCACAAACCACAAGACTGTATTTCTGTCAGTGTTGGTTCCTCTGGCACTGGGGAGAGAGCATGCTTGTACACAAGAGTGTGTTTTGTTGCCTGAGTCCGTAATTATGTGTGTGTGTGTGTGTGTGTGTGTGTGTGTGTGTGTGTGTGTGTGTGTGTGTGTGTGTGTGGAAAGCAAAGAAAAGAGGCTAAGTCAAGGGCAATGATAGTCCCAATGAATCTTTAACATCCACACCAAAGACGAGACAGTTTGTTGGTGAAATGGCGTATTAACAAAAACAAATTAGAATCCAATGATTTAACCCTGTTGCGTGCGAGGACTGAGGCAAACGTAAAGGACTATGGCAAATGATACAAGTTTTACGTGTGTGGGGTTGGTTGGACCCCATTTCTACATACAAGGGTTAAATAAAAAAATTAAATAAAAAAGAAACAAAGCAAGCTGAGCAGATAGAGTTTAGTCAAGGACAAAACTCCTCTAACGTCCTCCAAGATGTGCCATTGTTAGAGCCTCATGTGAAGGAAATCCCAGGGAAATGCAGCTTTGTTCTGTGTGCACACAAAGACAAGGGAGGGCTTTGCCGTACGGAGACACAGCTGGAGTCTGGGGCCATGCAGGATTGTCCTCAACGCAGCAACTGAACACAATCTGAGGACGACTCCGAGAAGCCTCACAGAGAAAAATGATAAACTGGACTCCTGAAGGACCGTTTACAAAGCCGCAGACTGAACATAAACACGGATCGGGTGCGAACACTCCACATGAGCATAAATATCGCATCAATTTTGTGATGCTTTTTCTAAGACGGAAAAATATACGACAGGAGAAAAAACTGTGTTATTTACATGAATTTTATTTTGTGGTGTATTGTCTACAGGTCCAAGTTTTAACACACACCCCTAATGTGATTCTAAATATCTTCGGATGTTGCAGCTCATCCATACCTGTGCAGCCATGATCAGGCTTCTGGGATAATCTGGCTGAATATTTGACAACTTTTGGTAGAATTTGTGGAGTTCATTTGAAATTGGTTCATGTCTTTAAGCAGAATCCACAAAGTTTTATTTTATTTGACTTGGAGGCTTTCCAAATGTCTCAATTCAACCTTGTGTTGATTTAAGATTCTGTTCACATTTGTTTTTTCATGAAAATGCGTCACTTGCGGCGCAAGAACCACAGCATAATGGTACCATCTTCATTTCTAGTCTTCTTTGGCTTGAGAGATTCAGCCCTCTGGACATATCTGATGTCATGGTACTCCGTTTTTCTCCAGAAGACATTGGGCTTGTCCATGTTCATAACAGTAAATTATATTTCAGCTTTAGTGGTTTCAGTGCAGAGGCTCCATTTCTGGTCGGCTTGGGTCAAATGGCTGAAAGTTGCACACGCCTGGGTTTTCCAACAGGAACATGAAGTGGATCTGACTTTAGAATGGAAACGTTTTGATTCTTTTCTTTCCTTCCTAAAAGCTCTGACATTACCTGCCCTTAAAAGCCAGGCCCATACGAAACTAATGAAATTTAAGTAAATTAACTCTACCAATTCTGTCTTGAAGAGCGGTCAAACATTTTTGCCAGAACTGCTCCACAAGCTTTTCAACGGCTAAAAACATGAGACTTCCCAAAGGACATTTATCCAAATAAAAGTCGGAGGCATGTGCAGATTTGATAAATAATCTTTATGTCTGGATTATAAAGAATCAGCAATAAATTCAAACATTGCTTTTGCATGCTATGTAACAATTTCACCTCCCTGAAAGAAGAAATAAATAATAAAAATCTGGGTAACACTTTATTTGAAGGGGGTTGAATAAGACTGTCATGACACTGTCATAAACATGACATGACACTTTTAATACAAAGTTGACATTATTCAAAATGTCTTTGTTATGACAACTTGACATTAACCAAGAAATCATTACTGATATAAATTTGTTCTAAAAGTATTACTGATTGCACTTTAAAAATTAGGTAACTTTATGTTATTAAAGGTAAAGTTTAAACAGTAATGATTTCTTGGTTAATGTCAAGATGTCATAACAAAGACATTTTGAATAATGTCAACTTTGTATTAAAAGTGTCATAATTTACCGAATGATGCTTTATGACAACAGTCATAAATATTCATGAAGACTTATTCATGTTCATGACTTGTGTTATGTCATGTTTATGACAGTGTCATGACAGTCTTATTCACCCCCCTTCAAATAAAGTGTTACCAAAATCTGTTGGATTCAAGCTTCTAACCTGAACTGTCTGGAGTTAAAACTCTTAAGTAGAAAGATATATGTTCCCTTTGGATGTATGACATTCCCAGTGAAGCCAGTGACAAGAAAATAACAAGAAGTAAAGACATTCTGCTCCACTTGCACAAATTCTCCTCGGCATGTCACTCATTAGGGGCAGCAGTCAAGTCATTACACATGTGAATTCAGAGAACTGTCCAGAAAACCTGGACTCTAAAGCAGCCTTTAGCAAAAAAAGAAAAAAAAAAAGAAGAAAAAAACGTTGTGTTTTCTAAAAGGGAACCAGAGCAGAGGTGCCAATATGTAGGTCATCGCTGTTTATTGTTAGCTCAGGCTACCAGATGGAGTCCGTACTTCAAGATCCCAACCTTTGTGCAGCCTGTGGAGATAAAGATGGCACCATTCAGTCATTGTGTGTAGACTTATAACTCACAGCAGCAACAGTTACAGTCTGAGCGGAGAAAGCAGAGAGAGAAGGAGAGAAGGCGGGGGGTGGAGAGGGGTAGAGGTATGTGAAGAATGCAGCTAAGGCAAACAGAAAGTCCCACACTCCTGTGTCTAATAAATATCAGGGCTTCCAGCTTTTCCGGTGCAAGGGGCAAATAAGAGAGCGGAGTCTCGATCGACACACGAGTCTGATTTGAGGGGATTTTCTTCTTTCTGCAAACATGTTTGACTCTGAGCCGGGCTCTGCTGCCTCCCTGTCCAGTTCATGCAGCACTGTTTGTTCCCAGGCCGGTCATGTGAATGAGAGACGATGAGGGTAAACACAGAGGCAGGTCTATGAGGGACACATGAAGGGGGGAGGAGGGGGATAAATCAGATTTACACCCACTCAAGGCCCATCGTTTTGTGCTGGCAGGTGGGGGACTCATGGATGTTTGCTCTCTCCTTCATGACAAACACTCTGCATGGTTCCTCAAAAGCACAACCATTTACACTGAATATTTGAAGTTGTAAATACAGTTACAGATTAATGTTACTTTACTAATATGAGCTAAACTGTTTCAAGCAAGCATCTCAAATATCCAACGTCTTCCGAGTTCAGTTAGAGCATCCAGACAGACTATTTATTATAAATATATATATGAAGGCATCAAAGATTTGCCAGAAAATATCAGTGAGCACACCAGGTCAGGAAAGGAAATGAAGCAACAACCCAAACTTTAAACAACTTTGTATTGCATTGCTGAATCCTCTATGTGAGAGTGGATAAACAGTATGGCACAGCTGTATATGGACTGAGATGTGGTTGTCCATCATCCTAAACTCAACAAGTCCAACGATGAGCATTGTGGATTTTTTTTCTTTCACATTGGGGATGTGTATGTGTCCATGCTATGGGCTACACAGTAGTGAGGAATGTAGATGACAATCATTAACACCTTCTACATGGATGGTAATTCAATTAAATTCAATTTATAAATACTTTATTGACCCCAAAAGGAAATTAAATGTAGCTGTAGCTCATTTAATTAAGGAGTTTCTGCAGATGGTGATGGCTGTGGGCAAGAAAGATCTTCTGTAGCGGTCTGTATTGCAAGGACGTTGAAGAA